CGTTTGGGGGGGGTCATTCTAGGCTGGTCTAGGTCCACTAATAAGTTTGTTTTAATTTTTAATCAGTTCCCCCCCTTTATTTTCATAATAATTCTTCCAACGAAATTAAAAATTATCTACCATGAATATATATGAAATGAGTAAATGATCTTATAGTCTTGGGAGACAAAAGGGAAAATATCTCTCAAAACTTGAATAGTAATAATAAAACATAACTTTTATCATTTAAAATATGATTGATTCCCCTATAAATGTCCATCTCGAATGTTGTTTTAGTACTAACCTAAAATAACTTTTGTTGGATGGGTTTGTTTGAAGTTAAGCACCAAGCTACACAATGGGCTATCTGGGTTCTGCCCACCACGGGTATTGAAACCCGGTTTCTAGCGTTGTAAGTCCGCAGACATACCGCTGTACCACTGGGGGGGGGGCTATTGGAGGGGTGATTTATATCTAAAATTGATTAATCGCATGTCTCCTAGAAGAGGTTAATTTTTTCCATATTTTGTTGTAACAAAGCTGAAATTTTCGTCAGGGACCATCTTTTTATATCTGTTTATTAACTTTTTTTTTTTTTCTTATCCAGTCTGTAAAAACTTAACCCGCTCTTGGTATAGCAACCTTTAGTTCCGATCCTGTATCAGTAATTCGGAATTTGTTTTTCTGAAAATTAATCTGTAATTTTTAAGGATAGATACGATTCTCATATTTGATGGCTTAAGCTATACAGGACATGGTAAAAAAAAATTGAGATTGAACTCATAATAGAGGCTTTTAGCGTAGAAATATCTCACTGAAAACGTTAATTATGATAATCATAACAAATGAATTGTTCTTACGTTAATCATATTAACTTCCCTTCATTTCCTTGTACAGACATCTTATAATATATTCAAACTCTGGCGTGTCCTAACTAATCAGTACTCAGAACACTAATAGATACGCATATTTGCGATTACAAATAACGTCAGTTTTATATTAACATTTGATAAATTTGTTTTTATTTAGCACGAAAATTTTTTCTTCTAAACCTCGTTATGATTATTATATAGTTTTAACGATGTTAACATGACAAGAGGATTTGTACTATATCACTTTTAATACATAAATACGATTACTTCACAGTCTCTTCTCTCTCAAATATTTCATCAGTTCTTCCGTAACATTAAATGATGAGAAAAAATTAATGGTTTAGAACTAGTTGTCACATTTTATAGCGTTCGTTATCATTTATAAATAAGCAGGTTTAGAATATACTGGGATATTTTTACACGAGTGGAACAATTTTCAAAGCAACTATTCAATGTTTCAGGATCTCGCTTTGTCGGAAAGTACAGTAGGAAGGTGGATTGTATTCTTAGGTTACAAGGACCCCAAATAAGGCTCCCTACGTCTCGTCTCTGAGATACCGGGTAGAATTCCTTCCGAAGAGATGAAAACTTGCTCTGAGATACAACGTGTCGCTTTTCCGTTTCCTGGCTTTTTAAAACTTTCGACGCTTCTTCACACGGGGAATGAAAACGAAACCGTTCTAACCACACCTTATCGGCTAAAACCGGAGGCGTTCAGTTTAGTTCTGCTTACGTAAGCAACCACACGCGAACCAATTCGGCACGTGATTGTTATTTAAATTTCACCCGCGATATTTTACCTTGAGCTTGTCTAAATATAAACTAGGGTATTGGGCTTGGCTCTACAAGCTTGCTGAAAAACCATTAGTGCAAGGTTCAGACCGGAGATTTGGTCATTCCAAGCTCAGTGTCTGTAGGTGCTAGGTTAAGCTAACCTGTTCGTTTATAAAACCCGACGTGAAGCAAACATCCTATAGCGTAGGTTAGTTAACCTAACCCTTACCACAAGACCTACTCGCTCCCGGCCTACAACTCTCCAGTGTCTACTCTCAGGTCTGTATTTGTAAATGCTGTAAAGTTTCTCAAAATTTTACGTTAAAATGCCATGTTGGTGAACAAAATTTTTATCTAACTTGAAGCTCTTGTCTTTCTTGCCTGATTAATGTTAGACTTAGAAAACGATGGTAACTGGTATACGATTTTCTTCTTGTTTTCAGTTGTTCCTGTTGTGTGATAAGCTATTCATCTTGCAAGTTTATAAATCTCCACTTCTGAAGTGAGGGAAACAAAATTTTTAAAGTTGTCAGGAAACTGGAGTTTTTTTTGTTTTGTTTTAGTTTTTATTTAAGATTGCTGGGGCTCCCGGTGGCTTAACGGTAAGCGTGACGCTGAAAATAGGGTTTGGATACTTGTGATGGACATATCACAAACAGCCCATTGTGTAGCTATTTGCTTAATAACAACAAATAAACGTTGGGAGCTTCGAGACGTTTTGATAATGACTTTCTGATACGAAAGATTAAAATAAGTAAACTTTAGAACTTCTGCGTTAATAACTGTTATATGGCAAGTTTATTTAAAAGCATCAAAGTTGACGTTAAGGTGCTGATGTTCATGGTTTGGTAGGCAGGCTCCACTTTCGTTTGCAGTGTTCATTGTTAATAATATTATTATACAAAGGTGGGGTAAAGTAAAAAAAGATGCTCAATATTTATGTCCCTTAGTGTTAGTCAACAAATCCTCCCGGTAGTACTAAACACTGCTATAGAAGTAACTTTTGTAACACATACAGGTATAATGAAGCACGTGCAATCGAATTTTCATGGAAATGAAAACGGGTTTTAACAAGAAGCACACATAAACGGACTCTTAGTTTCTTTTCGACGAATTATTTATTTGCAGTTCTGACGAATGCTAATATTCGCACAAAATCGTTATGTCTGGTCCAACATATTAATTAAAGAGAAAGTTGCCCCCTAGTGGCACAGCGGTATGTCTGCGGGCTTACAATGCTAGAAACCGGGTTTCGATACTCGTGGTGGGCAGAACACAGATAGCCCATTGTGTACCCTTGTGTTTAACTTCAAATAACAAAGAGAAAGTTTGTTTCAACCCAAACATACACATGAAGCAACGTGTCCACCATGGGGGTGGAACCCCGAATTCTAGCGCTTTAAGCTTTCCGTTGAGTAACTTGGGGATAGCTAAAAATTTCAGTTGATTTTATTTAGTTTTCGTTAAAAGTGTGGCTAGGTCTTGAGAATTGAAAATAGCAAGAAAATGAATAATATTATTGATTGAAAAATAAAGTTTTGTTTGTAGTTTGAGCCACATAAATCTACCGTTCATGAGAAATTCACTTCTGATGTTACTTTGTTACTGACGGTGACTTCACGTATCTGTTATTGGCATCTCTAGAAAAGATAAAACAGAAGGTTTATTTAGTGATCATGGTTAGTTCATTTAAGAGACTCTATTAAACTATTAAATAGTTAATAAAACATTTGATCAAAGTACACATGAGAACATAAAAGTAACTTTTAAATCAACGAAGCCAATTCTAAATAACAAACGATCTACAAAACTGTAAGTGGTTAATGTCAAATCAATACAGGAGAAGAAAACTTGAAACTGATTAGAATGCTTTAACGATATTTCCGAAAGTATACAGAAGCATTTTTTTAGGGCTTAGGATCAATTAATATGCTGCACTTAACATCAACAAGTCCTTTGTATATAACATAAATATTTTACTGTTTATTTTGTAATTGAGTTTCAAGCCAAAACAGATGACGTTTTAAGTCACTCAAAATACGTTCTGTTTACTTGTTTTCAAACAGATCTTAAACTCCACATTACTGGACGAATTTTAACTTGTAACACATGTAACTCGTGTGTAAACTACTGAACACGTGCAATTATTGTGTTTACGCTGAAACCTTTGCAAATAGATAAAGTAATTGAGTCCATATTGACATAAGAGTAGATCTATACGCACTAAATTATGAAGTTTAATTGAAAAACCTCAAACTGATGAAAATATTGGGTGTATATAGTATGTTAAATCACTAATTTCTTATGGGTTAAATTACTGGAATATTATGGGTTAAATTACTGGAATATTATGGGTTAAATTACTGGATTCTTATGAGTTAAATTACTAGGTTCTTATGAGTTAAGTTACTGGATTTTTGTAAGTTACATTACTAGGTTCTTATGGGTTAAGTTACTGGATTTTTGTAAGTTACATTACTAGGTTTTTATGGGTTAAGTTACTGGATTTTTGTAAGTTACATTACTAGGTTCTTATGCGTTAAGGTACTGGATTTTTGTAAGTTACATTACTAGGTTCTTATGCGTTAAGGTACTGGATTTTTGTAAGTTACATTACTAGGTTCTTATGCGTTAAGGTAATGGATTTTTGTAAGTTACGTTACTAGGTTCTTATGGGTTAAGTTACTGGGTTCATGTGAGTTAAATTGCTGAGTTCTTAGTGAAGTCTAAAAGTACGGGTTAAACTTTTGGGTTTAATCTGAATTATATGAGAACAGATAGAATGGTTTTGTGCATACTGAGTTAAACTATTGGGTTCTTACTAAAGTATATAAGAATAGATTAAGTTTTTAGTTAATACTGAAGCCCATAAAGATAGGTTCAATGATAAAATGTTTTTCGAGATTTTGATTTGATTTCGTTAAATCTCGTTCATAAGAATAGGTTAAGTTGTTGGGTTTCTGGTCAATTCTATAAGAATAGATTGAAATATTAGTTAATATTGAAGTTCGGATAAGATTGTTTGAAGGATATATTGATCCTTTCTTGTTCGTTCTCCAGTTGAATGCCAGGAAAATAAAATGGCTGTTTATCGTTTTCTGTTGTTTTTTTTCTCTGAGTAAATAAGGATACAGTGAGCTCCATACCTCAGGTGCATTGGCTTTTCTAAATACCCGCCATGACACCAGTTAGAATAACAACATCACCAGCCTCTTGACAGATCAAAAACGAAGATGCTGGAAAAATGCCTACATTTTTATTTGTATCTTGCCAGTTTCATTAGATGCATGTTAGAACAATCAAACATTAGAATCTTTTAATTTAAGCAGTTTTCATATATGAATTCTTATACTCTTATCGTTTTTTCATCATTTTACTGTTAGGTTGATAAATACTCAAAATAAAAAAAAACAAGCAAAAGGACCTGACCTCCTCCTCCAATTCGTTGCTTCAACTTCAAGGAAAAATAGAACCAAACATAAACGCTTCTTTTTGCTTCTGTTAAAAAGAATATACAATATTAAGTAAAGCTTCTACTACTTCCAACCACTTATTTAGTTATTAATAAACCTAATAAAAGCTAAGCCTACTCAAATATACTATAAAATCGTAATATTATTTCTATATATTTAACTAGTGAGTGCTCTGAAATAAAATATAAGAAATACTTGAATGATCCATAGGGAAACTTTCTTTAATGTTCTTACTACATTAAAAGCTTAGATTTTGAAGAGATTAACGACACATATTATGTCCTATTCTCTCTGTATTTGGTAGCTTAAGTTTAGAAGAGATTAACGACACATATTATGTCCTATTCTCACTATATTTGGTAGCTTAAGTTTAGAAGAGATTAACGACACATATTATGTCCTATTCTCACTGTATTTGGTAGCTTAAGTTTAGAAGAGATTAACGACAAATATGATCCCCTGTTCTCTCTGTATTAGTAGCTTAGATTTAGAAGAGATTAACGACACATATTATGTCCTATTCTCTCTGTATTTGGTAGCTTAGGTTTAGAAGAGATTAACGACAAATATGATCCCCTGTTCTCTCTGTATTAGTAGCTTAGATTTAGAAGAGATTAACGACACATATTATGTCCTATTCTCACTGTATTTGGTAGCTTAAGTTTAGAAGAGATTAACGACACATATTATGTCCTATTCTCTCTGTATTTGGTAACTTAGGTTTAGAAGAGATTAACGACAAATATGATCCCCTGTTCTCTCTGTATTAGTAGCTTAGGTTTAGAAGAGATTAACGACAAATATGATCCCCTGTTCACTCTGTATTAGTAGCTTAGGTTTAGAAGAGATTAACGACAAATATGATTGGCTTGTTTTGAAATACCCCCTAAGATTTTTTTTTGTAACCAGAAACTGTCCGTAAAAACATAACTTGAATTAAAGTGACTGGAAACGTGCAGATTCGAAGCAACTGATGTAATTTATTGATTTGGGTAACTTTCATCACGGGCTATTTTTATCCTTCTGTCGTAAGACAGTTGTTAAGGCACAAAACAAGATTGCTATAACAGTAAAATAAGAAAATATCCAGTTAGTTTGATAATATTAATACCAGTAATAAACAAAACTCTTCAAGTCGTGACAAATCGTTTCACTTCTTAGATTACGATGACCGTCTTTAAAACGATTGAAATGAAGTTATGGACTTAAGCTTTTACTATGATAATTCGGTAAAACGTTCAAACAGTTGAAAAATAATTCTCAGGAAAAAATCATATTTTAAAAACACTTATGGTTCTTATTATTAAAATAAGTAAGGAAAATATGTTAAAGTGTAATCAAACTTTGAACTTTTTAGCCTAGTTCGTATCTTTCGTCAGCGCTATCGGTTAGTTGACAATGTTGATATGTTTTATAAAAAGAAGAGTAACAGACAAAAACATTATAGAAAAGATTTCATTCTGTGAGTTAATTTAGAATGTTACATTACCTTGGGTTGGATTAAAAAGTTATTGTTATCGTAATACATTTCTTTTGATAAGTTATAAATTCGAAAGTAAGCTAAACCTTATTAGAATAGTTTCATTTCATTTCTCTATCTTTCTCTCATTTTTAGAACTTCTAAGAAAATAAAGAATGTCTGACGACGAGAGATACAGGTACGTGTTTTATCGAATATATTAAAACTAGATTAAGATATAGTGTTTTTACTTTGATGAATGTTTCTTCCTGTTTTTAATATTGATGAAGTTTCGGCTTCTTTACTTAGGCCTTCTTTCGGTCGATGATACGTCACAGACGAAGCTAGTTAAAAGTAAAAATCAGTGTTTTCCTGTATATACTGCGTTTAATTGTATTTAAAAATTAAACATGGCAAAGTCTAGACTAAGGACAAATTATTGATTTAATTGTATTTGTCCAATATTAATCAGCTTGAAGATAAACATTGTATACAATAAAACTGTTGATGTCTCAGTCTAACAGTTGGTATGGCAGCGTAGTTCCAACATTAGTTTTTGTCATTGCTGTTGTCTAGTTTTAATTGTACCATTGCTTACTTTGGAGTTTGTACACCTTTAAATAAGGAAATCTTCTTGTATTGTGAAAAGAAACTGGATAACTCCTCTAAAGAATAGAAATGTATTTTAAGGTTTTCCAGAAAGACACCGAGTCTACAGCCTTTTTTTTTAACCATGTTATACATTCGACTTAGTTCGACACAAAAGCCATCTTTTTTTAATTTTCTCTCCTCCCCCTTTTTTATGTAAAATAGATCCGCCAGCGCCAGAAAGGAACTGTTGCCAAAAATGTTGAGTTTGGAGTCAGCTCGAATTACTCAGTGCATGTCCTGCCAAACTAACTTAACTAAGATTTGGGGAAAAGTTTGAATGAGCACATAAAAAATGTTAAAAATGTTTCGTTGAACAATTTGTATGATTCAGTAGAAAAATAGCCGAAAATGCCTCATTCTTTTAATAATTAAAACTTAATATTGTCAACTTTCCTTATTTACGGATAGTTCATTATAATAATATTATTTGCTATCTTCAAACTGAACAACACTTTATACGACACATGGGCTAAACGGCCAGGTTAGAGACCCCTTATAGTTAAGGTATAGTCATCTCTAACTTAGAACTGATGACGGAGGAAGGACTTCTAGTTAGCAACTATTAACAACATAGCGGGACTGACTGTCACATTTATAATTCTCCCACAGCTGAAAGTGCGGAGCGTATTCAGCAGCACATCGCAGCTCGAACTTCAAACCTTTCAATACGCAGCCAGACATGTTAACCACTAGGCCATAGTGTCTGAAATTTAAAAGGTTATCATGTGAGTGGTCCCCGTTTCGATCTAATAGCTTAATATTTTAAGAAGGTAAATTAAAGCGTAAAGAGAACGTTATGGAATAGATCAATTAAAAAAAATAAACTATGCGTTCTTCACTAAACACATTTAACTTATCGTCAAAACTTCGTCTTCCTGGGAGGAATTTTCGTGGTTTAATTTCGTAGTGATCTCCACCCACCCCCCGGTGACTAAGCGGTAAGTCTCGGGACTTATGACGCTAAAAATCATGTTTCGATACCTGCAGTGGGCATGGCATAGATAGCCCACTGTTTAACTTTAAGATTAACAAATAAGCGGAAATAATATCATAAGATTAAAGCATCCTCTAGCTTCATGACATCAACATACTTCTTATGCAATGTTGGCTGGAAGCGTCAAGTTTTTAATCAAGACCTCTCACCTAGTTTCTCGTTGCATTAGTTTAAAAATAATACCTTTCTGCGAACTTCGGTATCAGTTAAGTTTCTTCGAAACCTAAACCAAACTTAACTGTTTACGATGACATTACTTCTCCAGAAACTGTGAAATATGCGGTTAAAATCTGACGACCAGTTCCAGTGTGAATATAGCCTTGACTGTGTTAACTTAACGATAATTTGTTTGTTCTACATGTTTCAATAATAAACTTGTTAGGGTTAAAATAATTCAAATTTATGGGAGAAAAGTATACAAGAAACTTTAAATATATCTGACAGGTACCATAAAAAAAACAACCAGAAATAAACGAGAAAGGCAGAGTGAAGGCATGGTTGTGTAATGTTCGTGTTTTCCATACTAATTACTCTGTTGTTTTTCCTTCATCTGGTAGACTTTTCTTTGGCAAAGTGTATCATCTTCAGCAAAATTAAAAATATATTCTTCAGAACAGGCTGTTTAAGTCGTGGGAATTTAGATCTAAACAAGCCAAGAATGCGAATAAAATAATTATTTTTATACTATAAATTTATAAAATTTTTCGTAATACACTTCCTGTTTTAAGTTTCACAAAAAGTGAATCGCTGAAAATTGGATATATGCCAGATCGTATCTTGTATGCAAGGATGTTAGATTATGTAAAACTGATGGGTTGTTGAGAAATACTTAGGACTTTCTCAAAAAGCTATCTGAATGTCGATAAAGATGAATTTATCTAAAAAAATAAAAAATAAAGCCGGGCGTGGCCAATTACAGTGCTCTGATTGTGAATTCAATGATACATGGTTCGTGACTTGCCGCAAAAACACACTCCTCACTTTAGGGCCGTGGAAGCGCTACAAGAATGACGGCCAAAGTTCACTGTTTGGTCAGACAAGATTTACCAAACTTTTCAATTCTGAATTTGTATTTTTCTATTTATTGCAAAGCTACTAATACTATCTTACACCGTCTTATTTTGAACTATTGACAAGAGAAAAGGCAGCCAATCATCAGCAACCTACCACCCATCATCCACGGTAAGGTATTAACTGTCACTCTTGTATCGACCCATAACTTATAGTGCAGAGAATATTTTGTGGTATCGCACGGATTAGAACCTGGCTCGCCAGTTCCCAAATCAATAGATTTACCACGGGACGAATCCTGGTCTTCAATTATGAACCAAATTATTAAAATGATTAAAGCTCATTTCTTTGTAATCCCATTTTTTGGCGCATTTATCTGTAACTGAAACTAGAAGTTACCCAAAATATTTATAAATGTCAATCTAGGCTCCAAAAGTTTGGATGTAACAATGAACGCTAACTATAAAAGTTTAGATTACATTCTACTTTCTCGTGCTATTTATAGCATTGGTTTTGAATTTTAGAGGAAAATCCAGTTCTGTACCAAAGTAAATATTCTAGGCTTCTTGGCCCTCGTTCCAGGCTGTATTTACGTCTTATTTGTACAACAGATTATCTAAAATTATTGCGTCATTAGTTGTTAAGGGAAACATCCCCTACTGGCGGATTTCACTCACTTGTTCTGACATAGCTTCCATATGTGTAAGGATCATTTCTTTTACACTACATACTTGCTCTTCAAGACCGATGTCTGTAGGTTTACTCTCTTCTTAGAATTCTTCTCAAGAAGTCGATAAACCCCTTTTTTATTTTTTTTAAGTTGTTTTTATTTCTTCAACTTTTTCCCCCTTTTTTTTTAACAATAAA